TCTTGAACTGGGGAGCCCAGAACTGGACACAGTACTCCAGGTGGGGTCTCACCAGGGCAGAGTAGAAGGGGAGGATAACCTCCCTCGACCTGCTGGCCACACTCCTCTTAATACACCCCAGGATACCATTGGCCTTCTTGGCACCAAGGGCACCCTGCTGGCTCATGGTCAGCTTGTTGTCTACCAGGACTCCCAGGTCCCTCTGGGCAGAGCTGCTTTCCAGCAGGTCAGCCCCCAGAATGATGTAGAATCATGTACACAGTCTCCTAAAAGAACATCAAGAACCATTTTTTTTCCCAAACTGAAAATCTGAATTCAGCGTAGTCACTGTGTCAAGAAGATTTGCTAGAAGTAGGTTCATGCCCCGTGACTTTCCAACCACATAACGCCAATGGGCAGCACGGCTTCTATACGGACCAGTGAAAATACAGCAATCATCGCTTTAATGCTTTGTATTATTTTGCATTTTTGAATAATATCACCGTTGTAGATGGAAAATGAGCAGAATTTATGCGTCTTGCCCAAAAACACGCAGCACAACTGTGGCAGACTAGAATATGACCAGAATTTGGGACCGTTGATTTTTGTCTTCACCTAACTACGTGCTCATCTTTCAATTACACGTAGAAACACAATGAGCGTTATTGTAAGAAGTTTCTTAGAGGTCATCTTCAGATGAAGTGGGATCAAGGCTCTCCTCACGGAAGTTCTTTCCTCAGCACTGCTTAGCATGTGTTCCATCAATCTACGCCCCAGAAATAGCACTGATGTTGAAGTCTTTGATGAAACTATGGACCTTCCTACGCTCGCACCCATTTAACCTCACCTGCCGGTGAGGCCACACCTTGAATACCGTGTTCAGTTTTGGGCTCCTCACTACAAAAAAGACGTTGCATTGCTGGAACATGTCCAGAGGAGAGCAACCAAACTGGGGAGGGGTCTGGAGCACAAGTCTTACGAGGAGTGGCTGGGGGAGCTGGGGGGGTTCAGCCTGGAGCAGAGGAGGCTGAGGGGAGCCCTCATCGCTCCCTACAACTGCCTGAGAGGAGGGGGGAGCCGGGGGGGTCGGGCTCTGCTCCCAGGGAAGGGGCGATGGGACGAGGGGCACCGGCCTCAAGTTGTGCCAGGGCAGGGTGAGGTTGGCCATGGGGAACAATTCCTTCCCCTTGGGGCTGTCAGGCACTGGAAGGGGCTGCCCAGGGAAGGGGTCGAGTCCCCAGCCCTGGGGGGATTTAACAGCTGGGCAGAGGCGGTGCTTAGGGACAGGGTTTAGTGGTGGGATGGCAGGGGTAGGTTAACAGTTGGACTTGATGACCTTAAAGGTCTTTTCCAACCTAAAATAATACAATACAAACCACGCAAAATGAGTCTGAAGGCTTTCTAGGTGGTTTTGTAGTCAACCTGCGAGATTCCACTCAAGAAAAAAAACCAAACACGTTAACAATTACCCAATAAAAAATTATCCAGCAAAATTAAGCTCTCGAAAATTAACCTTATTATCTCATTTCATAATGGGCAAATGTGGCATTAAGTGGAATAAATGGTGAAATCCATTGTTTCTTAATGAAGGTAATATTCAGGTAAATTCTTATATTTACATATAATGCTTGTCCGCTGGGCCAAGTCTTCCCTGGCGTAACTACTGGCCTGAAGGGATTTTAATTTTGATTCTTGCATTAAGAATAAAACAGCAGTTCCAGCGCTAAAGCTCTCAGTTGCTCGCTGTGCTACAGGACATCTGTATTTTACCCACTGCTAGAACCGACAGACATCGGGTGCTGCGATGCGAGGTACTATTGCCCATGCCGAATATATTACAAATCCTGATTGCACTACGTAAATTGTATTACTTCCATGAAGATATTATAGTAAATCACTTGATATCAAAACTTCCGGCTCCACATATTCATGCCGGGTGCTATGAATAATTCCAAACAAAAATTAAAATTCACCCTCAAAACTTCAATCCAGGATATTTTCACGTTTGCGATACTGCCCAGCTATTTGGGAAGAGTAAAGAATACAACTTACAGCAGCAAAATGTTGCAGACTTTAACGTGGTTAGATATGTTCACAATACATGAAATTAAAATTTGACCTGGAATATCCAAACTTCACACGCTACTTTACTCAAACGCAAAACATTTTCCAAAAACATCTGCTAATGTGATCTGCTTTGCCACACAACCACAACATCGATAGTTCTAGAAATAAGAGTCCTTATTTATAGTAAATCCCCTCTGACAGTGAGTAGAACGCTCTTTCAGTAGCACTTCTGCTATTTCAAAACCATTTTTTGATACCCTCAGCTTCCAACGCTCCGCTTGCCTATTACTATTTATGCCTCCCGCTGAGGAAATCCAGGTAACTGGGACTATTGAGGCAAGCATGGATTGGCTGAAGCATCAATGCCGCAATTCCAGCACTATGAGATCCCTTGCTCTTCCTTTTTGCGACGAATTCATCGCGCAGGACCCAAACC